CAGACCATCACAACCTGCTAGCTCAAGCATGTATTTTATTAAAAAAAAATAAATAGGAGTTTAAGTTGGCTTTCACCATCACATGAGCATGTGTCTGTTTTTTCTGAAAAAAGAGAGCAAGTCTGGTGTGGCAAAGATGCTGGCCTAGAAAACGGGAGACGGTGAAGTCTAGTCTTGCCTTAGGCATGAAAAGCTGGCTGGGTGACTGAGGTGCCAGTCACTCTCTCTCAGCCCAACCTACCTCACGGGCAGTGGTGGGATTCAGCCAATTTGCACTAGTTCAGCAGAACCTGTAGCTAATTTTTTGTTGCCCAGGCCAAGAATGGACTTTGGGAAGCGGCATCCACACAGAGAACCAGTTATTCACATATTTGAATCCCACCACTGCTCACATGGTTATAGTTGTGGGGAAAATCGGAGGAGGAAGAAGAAGCATTATGTATGTTCACCCTTTGAGTTATTTATAAAAAATAATAAAAACATGATTTAAAAATATCTAAAATCTAACAATACACTCGTTTATGTGTTGAACTAACGATAATGTCATAATCATGTCCATTTCTGGTCTACCTTTTAGGGACACTGGTCCTACTCAGGGAACAGCTGGAGAAAAAGATGAGGTTTTCAGATTCTGTCTTTGACTTGCGTACATTAAGATGGTGTAATGATAAGACATACGGAGTGGGCTTTCTGATATAAACAAAAAAAACTATGTTCATACATGTATATAAATGGACACATAGTCCATTTACTATTTGGTGCAACTGGGATAGGAGATCTAATAATTAGAACACATCTTTTACATGTCAAGTGAAAAGAGTGGAAAAACCCTAGGAAGGAAAAAAAATGATTCTGTTTTAAGGAATTTTGATTTCCATTAGTCACAAAGGACATTCTGAGGGAAAAATTGGGAGAAGATATAAGAAAGACTTCAGTTCATATAGGATATATTTTCCCTCCATTAATCTTATACTGGAGTGATGACTTAGGAAAGTTTATGTTCTCTTGCTGCATATGACCTATAGGAAGTGATGCGTAAGATATCTCAGACTTCAGACTGAGATATTGGATTGTAAGAATAGAATTCTTGACATTGAGGTTAAAGAATCACAACGTGGAGCCATGGATGGGAAGAAATAAAAAATCAGAGACATTGCCTCTAGAATAAAGATGTCCTCTCTGAGAAAAATAAAATAAGAACAAGATGAAAAAAATGTCAGTTGCTGGAAATAAATTGGGAGAGAGTAAGAGAGCATTCTTTTCTTGATTGTTGTCAGCCTCAGTTTTTATGTAGCTTCAGGGCACACCCAGATTTCCATATCTTTTGTTAAAGGTCAGGGGCAGAGATACCAATATTCTATTTTATTATGAATTGCAGCCAAAAATTTGGAAACAATAGCTTTTGGGAAATAAGAATGAAAATTCCAGCAACATAACCCCGTGCCCTCCAGCGTCATTCTGATTACAACAGACACAATTTAAAGGGACTTTTTTATGCAAGTCTGGAATGTCCACAATAAAATAAAAAGATGCTTTTGTTCTGTTACTCATGAAAAGAGGCAACCAATAGATGTTATAATTAGAATGGAACTGAAGCTGCAAAGAAGGATTCCTAGCTGCATGCAAGGCTAATCTCTTAAACTGGATAGCAGTGTTCCAATATCTCAGGGGCTGCCACAAAGAAGAGGGAGTCAAGCTATTCTCCAAAGCACCTGAAGGGAAGATAAGAAGCAACGGGTGGAAACTAAGCAAGGAGAGAAGCAACCTAGAACTAAGGAGAAATTTCCTGACAGTTAGAACAATTGATCAGTGGAACAACCTGCCTCCAGAAGTGGTGAATGCTCCAATACTGGAAGTTTTTAAGAAGAGACTGGACAGCCATTTGTCCGAAATGGTGTAGGGTTTCCTGCCTGAGCAGGGGGTTGGACTAGATGACCTCCAAGGTCCCTTCCAACTTTTATTATTATTATTATTATTATTATTATTATTATTATTATTATTATTATTATTATTATTACTATTACTATTATTACTATTATTACTATTATTATTACTATTATTATTACTAGCCTGGATTGGGCTCTTTACCTGGACCCGCCTGTTCTGGAGGAAACTCAGAAGTTCACATACAATAGGTGAGGGAAAGTTAAGAAGTGGTGACTCAAACACAAGAGAAACCACCTTGATAGGCCACAAAACCAAAAGCAGTCATGCACATTATTAAGTGAGCAGGCTGAGAAACCAAATCATAGCAAATTAGTCTGCCTTGAATGGTATTCCCCTGGGCACTTGCCCAGGCTGCCTCTGGTTGTTATGAGTCACTGAAATTCCTGCCTTCCCTTTCAGAACCCATTTGTACAGTTGACCACTGCTCCTTTCCAGCCAGAAACATTTGGCGTGTTTTTGCTCTCAATGAAGGTTGGTTCTTTTTCAGGAAGATGCCACAAATGAATCAGCAAACCCCACTTTACTGAACTGTAAAGAACAAAAGGAAGATCTCATTGGAATAAGGCCAACTTTGCTATTAGGGAGGATAAAGTAGCTACTAAAAGTGATGTGAGAGTTAATTCTCAGCCTGATAAGACCAGCAGTTGCAAAAACAGTCAACAGCTGCCTGTTCCCCCTTTAGTAAAAGAGGCTGCTTTCCACCCTGTGTGTGTGAGAGAGTTTGAGTGAGTGACTTTGTCTCTTTCAACAATAAGGTGCTTGATGGAATTCTTTTGTTGTATCCTTAACCTTCCTTCTAGTAAATGTCACCTGTCAGAGCTCTTGGAGGTATATTTCCTGCTAAGCTGTGAGGTATTAATGGGAGACCAAGTGGAAAATTACAAAATGTGCAGATGCAAACAGGAATGGTTGGTTTGCATTGCCACATGGTGGTGTATGCTTCACCAGTTTTGCATTTTCACAGTTTATACTGCATGCCTGTGGCTACAGTGAGGAGAGCGTGTGGCATATAAGAAATGGCAGGTAGGTCAGTAGATCAGGATGAAGGTTTTCTGGCCTCACCTCATCCCTTCTGTGGTTATCTCCCCTCCATTTCTTTCTGGTAAATTATCTTTCAGAGAGAGAGGCCTTTGAAATGAGATGGGAAGAAAGATGGATGGAGCACTGGTGCTCTGGCTGCTGTCAAGAAGGAAGCCAGCAGTCAACTATGCAAGCCAGGTGGAGATGGGATTGGTTGGATGTAACATGAAGACAGGATGGCTTGATGCTGGTGGACAAATATACAATGATAGATATCTATCTGCTAATAGCAAATATGCATTGTACTTAAAGGCATGACGGAAAACAAAAATATTTTTTTTAAAAAAATCCCTTCCTGAGATAGTGTCCAGGTGTTACCTTTATTGTGCATCTTCAATATCTTAAGATTATTTTTAAGATAGATTTTTAAACTGGACATTATTCCAACAAAGGTTGCTTTCAGAGCAAGTTTGTCCATTCTTCTGGACAGTTTATTGTCTTCTGTACAGAAGATATATTGCCAGTCCTGTGACCTTTAGATTCATCAACAGAAAAAGATGTTATGCAGAAACACACCATTCAGCAGTCAACTAACAGATTCAGGATCTTCGGACCTCAGAAAATTGGACTTGAGTAAAATGAATCTTAGTCATAAATAAAAGTCATGTAGAGGTTTTGAATGCATATTTAAATATACTGCTTTTTTATCAACAGTGAATTGGTGTGATCTGAACTGAATAAGTTGGTCTGTGAGTCTTTGTTTCCATTACCCAAACCAAGGCAGGCATGTGCATTGAGTAAACTTGGTCATTGGCCCTTAATTCCCTGGGTGGAAGGAATGCTGGGCACCTGTGCTAAACAGAATGGGCTATTTGCGCAGGGTTTCATTCATTAGGGGAATGCAGGCAGCTGGCCGGAAAGAGGCTGGGTTGTTTTCTCATGCTTTCATTGATCAGGGAAAGTGCAAGCACCTGCACTGCTTACACAGACTGGGCAATTTGCCCATTGCTCCCATGAGCAAGAGATATCTCTGGTTTGAACCCTAGGCCATCTGCAAGTCTGTGTCTTCTAAAGAAAGAAATGGAAAAAAGGTGGAAGGGAGCAAGGCCAAACTCAGAGTAGCAGAAGAAATGCATGCATTGTTGGCTTCTCTATCATTTCTTTGTTAGGCATAGATGCTTCTGCAGCTCTCAAGTTAGACAGCTGACCTGTGTTCCCTTGGCAAGGTTTATTTCTTAGGATCCTATAGCTGCATCCTGGAAATACTGTATACCCCAAGTATATTTTCAGAATGTTTTTCCTTAATCTGTAAAACAAGAAATAGGGAGACTTTTTTTAGGCAGAGCATATTTGGGAAGGAAGGTTGTTTACACAATATATAAGTCCATAGAACAGCTTGAGTAAGATGCAATGTCTATAGAAATATTTCAGCCTCACTGCTCAAGCAGAAATAGCTGCTACACAAAATACAGAGCAAGTGAGAGAGCCCACAGTACTTTTGCTGGAATCCCAAATTGTATTTCATGAAATTTGTTACACTGCAACTAATTTCTTCAGTGAGTGGTGTTCAGTCTGGAGACTCTTGTTCAATTATCTTGGATACTGGGATAAAGCCCTGGTGTATTTGCTGGAATATCCTCTGAAACCACATCACCTGAACTGCTATAAAAACACTGACTGTGTTTTCATAATCCATAGTTGTACTTGTGTGTGGGCAGGTTGATGGATGGAAGCCCTGCAAATTATATGCCTGCATCTAACATCACGATACAAGTATGAAAGGGTGGCTTTGTGATGCAATTTCATGACATACAATATGTTACATCATTCTTTCATCATCTTTGTTTGTGGTGGATATCTGAAGCACAAGTTAGGCGCTTTAAACTTCTACTGAAATAAGCCATTTTTCTTGGTTTGGCACAGTGAATCATTTGCTGACTTTACTCAACCATAGGTGAACTCTGCTTGGTTGATTTCTATAAGATGTAAGCTGTCGATCATATATTTTAACCCCATTCTCTTTCCCTTTTCAGGTGATCTTCCGTGCTTTAACGCCTACTAACAAGATTGAAGATCCATACAGTCCTGAAGCACAAGCTGTCTTGAAGCTCACTAATTTGCGGCTCCTTTTATTAAAGAGGCAAGAGTGTCCTTGCCAAGGCTCAGGAGTACTGGAGAAACCACACAGATTTGCCCATTATGCCATCTATGACCTAATTGTCCGTGGCAGTTGCTTCTGTAACGGCCATGCAGAAGAATGTCAGTTTGCCAATGGCCCAGGTGTTGGCAGCAATATGGTGAGCATTAATGCTATCCTTTCTTATATTAAAAAAAAACGAATGCCTCTGAGTTTGAGTTCCCAGTAACATTAATTTTATCCATGTAGCTAATGTTACGTAAATGTTGTATATTTCGATATAATTTTAATGCAATTTTGGTGCCAAAAGGCTGTGCTTAATGGTTTAATTAATTCTATTTGTGTGAGAATAGCTACTCTATGTACACGATTTTATATTCTATCTATCACTTTTGCCCATTTGAATCTAAGAGGACTGGTACAAAGGTTTATTCATTCCTATTAATTACTCATTGGTGCTGAATAATATCCTGAGTATGATAAGTCTTCCTTCCTTAAATTATTTTAATAGAAAAGTGTGCTACTGATTAATCACCATTTTTTAATTCTAACTTCACTTTGGCCTCTGGAAAAAATCCAGATTTGCAAGGAATCTGGGAATTCCTTGGAGATTTTTGCAGGGAAAGGGATAAATTGAGAACAAGTTCATGATTACTTATTTATGGAACCTCATTAGAAATATATAAAACTATATCTAAAATAGAATTACAGAATGAGGGCAAAACTGTAAAACACATTTTAATTTTGTGATTCATACATAGACAAAACCATGTGCACATATTTCCTTAGCTTTTATCTTTCCCAGTGGAATAAACTGAGATTTAATACAAAGAGATTGGCATGTGTTGACAGGATCTGGGAAATGTTGATTACAGAATACAAGAAAAAACAGTGGTCCTTATAGGAAATCACCTGACCACCACACATTCTTTGTGTTCCATTTCTTTTCCCAAGATCATAAAATCTAAATCTATTTTATATAGCTGGACCCAAGAAATTAAACTTTACTATTCATGAAGTCTTTGAAGGTATAGACAAGTACTTGGAAACCTCTGCCCCAAATCTCCAAATTTTCAGATGGCCCCACAATTACTTTAGGTTTCCAAGTACTGGTCTATACCTTCAAAGACTTCATGAATAGTAAAGCTTATTCCAGCTATATAAAATGGATTTAGATTTTTGAGCTGTGGAGGCGCAGTGGTTATGCAGTATTGCTGGCTAATTCTGCCAACTGCCAGCAGTTCGATCCTGACTGGCTCAAGGTTGACTCAGCTTTCCATCCTTCCCAGGTCAGTAAAATGAGGACTCAGATTGTTGGGGGCAATATGCTGACATGGTAAACCACTTAGAGAGGACTGTAAAGCACTGTGAAGCGGTATATAAGTCTAATTGCTAGTGCTACTTTCTTTCTAAATGTTGATATTATGATTGCAGACATTCAACAGCATGATTTGCAATCATCGGGGGACAGGGTATGACAATAAAAGTGAACACATTAACATTGGCTTAGCATCCTTCAAAATGCAGGGTATTATTCCGAGAGTTTAGAAAAAATAGTTCTAATTCTAACACATGCATGATAGGACCCCATACATTTTGCATTATCACAGAAAGCAAGAACTGAATGAGATCTGGACCTCTTCTAGTTCAAACAGTGCAATCATTACACAGTTGAACACTATACTACTATAATATCACCCTCAAGCTTCTGTTTAAGTATCTCCACCAAAATCCCCCATCTTCTAAAATATTGTTAAATATATCTTTTATTGATTGAACATACTTTTCCTGATGACCAGCTGCTTTTTTGTGTGTGTCTTTGAGTCAGTTTTGATTCCTAGCAACTTATGAACTTTTGACAACATTTTTTAGAAATGATTTGCCATTGCTAACCACTTCTTAGGGCTAAAAAAGACCCAGTTGGCTTTGCGTCTGACTCTAAGGCATTGAAACTTAGTTTTCCTGTTTCTAGCATAATACCTTTAATGCAATACCAAACTAAGTTTTCAACTTAGATCTAAGTTTTCATATTTTAAGCACATTACTTCTTCTCATTTTTGCTCAGACAATTCCAAATAATTGTATTTTATTTTTTAGATTATAGTCCTTCAGATATTTAAAAATAGTACTGTATTTTTCCTAATTCTCCACTACTCCAACCTAAAGAAAAAAGATAGATTGGTTACTGTATATTTATTTAGCTTTGTATGCCAATTTCAACAAACTGACTTGACATACAACATCTCCAACTATTCCCCTTATTTTTTTTCCTTGCTAAGATTTTTTATCTTAGTTATCTTCCTCCAGACATAGTGCACTTTGTCGTATCCTTCCTAAAATGTGACCAGGTCTAGACACAATATTCTAAATCTGGGTTGACCAATGCAGAACAGAGAGAAATTATGACAAATATTGATTTTGATATTATATTTCTCCCTAAAAACTCCTTTAACTGATTTTCTACTTTTACAACAAATTTATTAATTTTACAAGGAAATAAATAAAAAAGGAGACAAAAACAATTTTACATTAATTAAAATAGCTAAAAGTTTCAAAACAACGATTGACCCATGGACCTGCCTGCCATTTTGTTGTGGGGAGGGGGAACAAAGGGAATCATGAACTATGATGAAAACTACACCCCTCCACACACATACACTCCCCACTGAAAGCAACAAAGCAACCAAGCTCAAAAGGCACCAAAGACACTGCAGCCCAATGTGCTTACAATTGACACCCTTCCTATATAAAGTTCTAGTACAATATTAATACAGTACAGCAAATCCTGGAGTAATGAAAGTCAGTGAAAAAAATACTGATTATTTAACACAGATTCCAACACAATGAGAAGAAAACAAAGTTGCTTTAAGCTTTTAAGCAGAGCTCAGTGCTAGTTTAACTGTCAGGAAACCCTTTGTAAGGTCCTTGACAGGTCCTTGTTTCTTCCAATTGCTTGAGAGTTGCATGACTGATTTTAAAATTCTCTTGTGTAAGAGAGAGTTTTCTATGTAGAGAAGAAGAAAAAAGCTTGCGAAAGTAGAAACTTCTTCTGAAATCCATTTTAGAGAGCAGTTTATGACAGACTTTTCATTCCAATGACAAATCTAAATGGATTTAGCTGTTTTTCTCTTAAAACTCAATAATCTTATTTTGGAACAATGTCTTCTATTTAGAAAAAAGAATAAGGAGGTTGGTTTTTTTTTTTTTTTTTTTGCTCAGATACTTTTAGAAACAAGTGTTTTGTGTGATTCCGCTGTAATAAGGTTCCTGATGAGTATATTGAATATTTGGTTACATAAAAAAAGATGCAAAAAGTCTTTGAATGATTGCATGGGGGGGGGGGAATTGAACAAAATTGCCCTCTGTAAAGAAGTTTCCTTATTGGGAATGTTTGTGGAGTCCAGATTCAGGACTAGAAACAGAATTTGACTCCTTCAATTCTAAACAAGCAACGTCAGTCAACTACTGAATGCAGCCAATATCTTTGTTTGGTTATTTGGCTCACTAAAGAAATAGAAAAGCCAAAACAGTTTGAAATGCTCTAATCCTGGCAGAGTTTGACATTAAAAAAGTCAAAGGCTCTTTTCATAAACTAATTTCACATCTCTCTAGATTTTTGTCATTTTGATTTGCTTCCCTCTGAAAGGAAATTTCTGACTTCCCTTTCACCGATAGCTTGACAAAATCAACAACTGCACACATTTCATGAAACTGTTAACTAAAATTCTAGGCTACCATACCTTAGTCATTGATAAAAAAAAACATAATAAATTACTGTTAAATCACAGTATCCCAGCAACAAGGAATGTTGTTATACTCCACCTAGGACAAATATGGATCCACTTAAGAAACGGCACAAGAAGAAAATAAACTGCTAAATATTCTAATGGTCTCATCAGATGAATAATACATCTGATGAGACCACTATTAATACAGCTGGTAGAAGAATAAACAAACTGCCCATCACAAGAGAAAACATAATACACCCCACACTATTGGCATAGGGAGTGTAAACCATCACTAGATTTCTTTTTTGAATGTTATTTATTTTCCACTGCCTGTTGTGCCATTAAATGACTTCATCTAGCAGCAGAAAATTAAATTGTTTTGTTTAACCAAAATTCATAAGTTACTCATTTCTCAGACTTCAATGGAAAGAAGAATGCATCCTGGAATGTGTACTGACACATTAACAACAGTTTTATTCTTCTGAGAATAAACTTGATAGACTGTTCCTCCTTTTCACATTAGATGTTTGTTTTATGATCATGGAAAAGTACATTCCACTCTGAGTAACTTAATTTAGGTTGCTTCCTCTTCTCCTCCTTTATTATCAAGTCTCATCTGCAAACATTAAACATGGTAAATTAATGTTTTAGTAACTGATTTGATTTTGTGGGTGATGCTGTGGCTTTGCAGATGCCACAGGCATGTAAACACAATTTTGGAAGCGATCACAGCCAACAGGACTGAATTAGCAGTGAAAGCAAATGAGGTTCAGGAAACAGATAGTCAAGATGACAAAGCAGTAGCTATGGGAATAAAATAAAATTGAAGAACAAAGTTATATAGCCATGTTATGCATCTCTTAATGGACTGTATCAATTAGGAACTGAGTGAGAGCAAAGTTGCACAGGACCAATTAAGCTGTAACTTAGCTGCTTGATAGATACACCAATTATTAAGATTGTAAATACCCAAACTTCCTTCAGTTCTAGTAATACTGGACTAAAAAGTCAATGCAACATAGATATCTCTTTGTGAAACAATAGTCTTCATTGCCATTCTGGAATCTTTCTACAACAAATTTCTGACATCTGTATTTAACACTTCCAGTTTATCAGATTTACAGTCTTTTATTTGTTGTTCCCCTCTTAGGTTTACATTTGCTGAATGTTCAATCCTTCCCCTTAGACTAGGATTCTATGGGAATCTTCTTCCTACAACTCTCTTTTTAATATCATTGCTGATATGTATAGCCATGTACCTTTGAGCCACCATTCCTTTCTGTATTTTCCTGTTATTCTTGTTATTGATGTACTTGCAAACTTTCTGCTCTGGTGCACTTTCAAAGGCAGCTAACAATTTTTTTTTTTAAAAAAAAACCATTAAAAGTTAAAAATACAAAGTTTGGTAATAGCAATTAAACAATCAATGCTA